TCTAGAACCGTTAGAAGCTTTTCTAATATAATAAAAAAAAATGATAATGTTTTTAACGTTCTGTGACCCACACACACTATGTTTCAGTGGGGATCGGACATTCTGTCCTCAAACCCCCACTTTCACATTGTGTATCTAAAAAAAATATTAAAATATTTTAAAATAGGTTATTGTAATATAAAGTAAAATTGAGTTACTTTAATTTGAATTTTAGTAATTGAAATCTGCATAATGTATAACTTAATAAAGTAAAGCTTAGAAATAATAAATAGTTTAATTTATAATTTTTTAATAAATGAATAATTTGAGAAAAAATTCTAATGAAATGTAATTAATAATTCTAATATTTTTATAATATAAATCAAAATTTTCTTTAAATATCTTTTATTTGAATCAAATCATCAATGTTTTAATAAACTTTACTTTCTTGATTAATATATTAATCATATTACATTACATTATTATTATTATCAATTCTCTTATAATTGATTATGAATTCATTGTGATTTATTACCCAATAGAATTTCAGAAATAATAATAAATGATTGGCCAATCACCGCTATGCTATAGGGAAAATAGATATTAGAATATTCGAAAATCATTTCGAAAATCGAAATTGATTTCCGAAAATCGAAAAAAAAAATTTACAATTAAAATTAAATTTTTAAAAAAAATACTAACCCAATCGAATAAAATCAAATCAATCGAAATGATTTAGATATTCGTTTGAATTTTTTTTGAATTTCTAACGGAAACCCAAAGATGGATATAAGTGGGTTTTGTTTATATTGCACAAAAAGATCTGACCAATCAACAAATGCAAAATCCGTTGATGTGATCAAAAATCAAACGCGTTTAATTTTTTTTTTATCATGATCATGTTAATGCCATCAGCCAATATATAGTCATCCGATAATTTTATTTTTTTTTCATACGAGATGGTTTTTATACATTCCAACTTTGACTTTTTGGATAAAGTTTGGTGGAAACTAGATTATGATGACCGAAATGCTCAGTATTTCATCTCAAATACCAAGCGCCTCCAACAAGCCATATTATTATCTGTTATTAACGAAGATGAAAACTTTTGGAAGGGTTACATTGAGCTTCATCGAGAACGTTATTTAACCGAATGCATTTCGACAGAAAGCAATGTAGACTTCGACGTTGTGCGACAATTGGTTAAGAAATCATGGTTCGAAGATTTTCTGAGCTACATGCGCAGAGTAATGTTCCCCAAAATACTTTTAAGACCTTTTTCATATTTGGTCAGCATCATTTGCAAACTTTCTCGTTCTTCACGTTTATCTAAAAAAGTCCGAAACCTCCACGATGCAATTAACGACATATTTCCGTTCATCTTCTATCCCGACCTTCCAATGGATCGGTTTACACCTTTGCTTACACAGCAGTTGCATAAACAGATTGGCAAAGGTTTAATTGACAATGTTGGTCAGTACAGAACGCAATATGTTATGGCAGCACAGGACAATTATGTTTATTTGGCACCAAATTTGATAAAGGACAAAATAGAAGAGCTATTCCGTCAATGTCGAGAAAATTTTCAGAGGGAGGACTTAGAATTAGAAGAAGCTGTCAAACTTGGGGCGTGCTTTCTCGCTCATTTCTTGTATATTCATCCTTTTATGAATGGAAATGGGAGAGTGGCTAGATTACTTTTAAGCTACTTGTTATCAAGATTCACTGTGGTACCACTTTCTTTGTATTTAGGAACTAAAACGCGGGAGGTATATTTGCAGTGTCTTCGTGAAGCACAGTGGTATGGCGAACCTCCATATAAACCTAGTGCACTTGCTAATTTTATCCTTGAGAACATATACGCAACGGCTTATCACATATGTGTAGTGATGGATTTAAATACTCGGATTAATGATTAATTCCTTAGCTTAAAATAATTCTTTTATGTTATTTTTTTAGAAATAAATTTTCACTTGGGATTAATAATTTTATTGGGAGGAATGGGTCAAATCAACGAATATGTCAGCATAAAAAAAAGATTTGTATTGCCTTGATTCTTTGTTTTACAAAATAAAGTATTTCTTAATTTCATTACAGTCTTACGAACTAAAGCTTATTAATGATCAAAAATTATGGTCATCACTTACATTTGAAACTATACTTGATCATTCTCGGATCAATTTTTCAACGTTCGTTATAACAATAATGCGTCATATTACATATTCATAATTCTTCATCTACACTTTTTCTTAGGAAATTAATCTTGAATCAAACTTCTTTATAGCCATTATCTTGTATATACCGCTTTCAATCTTGGAAAGAGCAGACAACCCGAAGGATGTGATTATTCGGCAGGCAGAGATTATTTGAACGCACAAACATACTAGAATTCTCATTTTCTCTTTTTTATTAATAAACTTTGCAATTATGTAAGACATAAATTAACTAGCAGGATTATAACGAATAAACAGTATAGATATGTCAAAGTACTTGCACATTCTTTTCATCTCTGAGTAATATCTTCTTTCTTGTGTTGTGAATTTGCGTCAACAACAAAGCCCGGACGCTTTCCTAGTCACTCATCATCCTACATAATTGCTTTGTATACAATATTTTTTTCAGTCTATAATAAGTTTCACTCGAAATTGCATCGCCCAGAAGTACACTAGCTTTCATTTTAACATAGTGCTAAATTCAACACATTTTAGATCCTGCAAAAGAATACAAGCAATACGCAATTAAAACATATTGTTGGACCAAATTATCTGTGAAGTATATTATTTATGTGAATGGGTATGAGATTTCTCACTCACTTATTATTTTTCTACATTTAATTTAATTCAATTTCTTCCATATGAATGATGTATGATGTTGATCTTGATCTAGGGAAACTGTAATGAGAAACTTGTATAACTGTCTTCTTTACATTGTCTCTTCACGCTGGTAAATCAATTGGCAATAACGTGATTTCTCTAATCATTGGACCAAATGATACTTAGAGATAAATTCAAGATAAATTAAGTACTTTGCAAAGTCGCAAAGATCTGACTTAAAGTCGTATTTCCACATTCTCTACGTTAATTCTTTGCTCTCCTCTTAATAACAAACACTATGATTAGAATTTTTAATTTCATTTGATGTGTCATTGTGTAAATTATATAGGTTATTAGAATTTAAAATCACCTTCATAGATCCATATTACTTATATATCAATTAATAAACCTCGAATGTTGATGAAGTAATCAAAATTGCTAATTGATCATAACTTTTAATATTATACGCTTGCGAAATATAATTTTAATATTACAATATACTGCTAACTATTCTTCAAATTTCAAGAATGCTCTTCATCCTAGAATTTGAATGTATTAAACATGGAATCATTACGGATGCGTACACTTTTGTATCTGATCAATCAATGATTCGGCTTTTATTGCTGCTGCTTCCAAGAATGACCCTTTCATTTTATTTAAATTATTTATTTATTTATTTATTTTTTGTTAGCGAATTGTTATATGGAAGTATTGATTGGCGAGTCAAAATAACAGTTGTTGTTATAGTATTCGAATTATCAATTAATAAATTCTCAATTCAGTTGATTTATTAGAATCAAATCCATTTATTTTTACAGTTAGATCTAAATTTTGTGCACCAACAAACCATAAAAATCACACCCTACAGACTTTATATAATTTGTCATCTTTCGTTCCATTTCACTACGTTCTGAGGAACTTAATTTTTTTCAGGTGAAATTCTATTAGTCACCATTATTCGACATTAGGTAAGAACATATCACGCTAAACTTTAATTGTATTCTGGTTACATAAATAGAAATATGACAATGCTAAGTTCAAAAGTAAAATAAAAGTTGTTCATCTTTTCAAACAACTATTTTTGTAAGTATTCTTGAAGAAGGAGAGCTTATCAGTAACATTTAAAAGAACATTAACATACAGTAATAACTTATTCGGAATAAATTTAAAAGTTTCCTGGTGAAATATTTAATTTGATATGATGCCATCATTATTCTTTTACTGCAAGGCGGTATGCACAGATTTTAGTTTAATAGTATATTGGTAAAGAGAGCGGGATATATATAACTTTTTATTTATTTTATAATAAAAAAAATTTGAAATTTTCTTTAAAACGATTCTAATATAGAAAGAAAGAAAATTTTAATTCTTATTTTTCGAAATCTGAAATACTTCATAATCTTCTATTGAAAATTTTTCTTCATCTCTTATCCTTTTTTCATACATTTTTTGCATGCAATGATTATTATCATAATTAAGATTAAGATCATAATTATATTTAAGACCATAATTATAATTAAAATTATTAAAATTAATACCAATTGCTAAACAAAGATCATTATAAAATGAGGGTCCACAGTGACCACTATAATACAATGCACGATCTATATTATTCTTTAAAACTATCCTTGCTCTTGAAAGAAAATATAAAACTATCTTTGGTATTTCCATACCCTCTATCAGATTTCCATATTAAAGGATTATACCCTCCAAAGAACTTCATCGGTTTCTTTTACTTTGATGAAAGTGACTGTATAAGGTATATCATCACATAATTGATGAAATATTTTAGGAGTAAACCCATCTCGGCTTCCTCTTAACAATAATTTAAATTTATATGGTAAATACAATTCTCTCACAAAAGCAAAATTACTTTTAATTTCAACCTTATCGATCCATCTTGAAATTATGGAAACAATATTTAAATTAACAATTGCAGTATCAATGATTCCATCAATATTTCTACATCTAGGGAGTAAAATATTGTCACTTGGTACACCATCATAATCCAAATAAGAATCTAATAAATCTTCGAAGAGTTGATGTTTCAAAAGCTTTTTATATGGACGAACTTTTTTGGTGAATTCATCAGAAGATAAACTAAAAAATCTAATTAATGGCAAACAATGTTGTAAAGTATTTTCCACCATTTTGAAATCATCATCTGACCAAGTCAAGGGATCCGGAATAAGTGTGGGATGTTTTTCAAGGCCCCATTTTAAAACATGCTCCCAAACTTCAACCTCTTTCATTTGTAAGTCATCTCTCTTAATAAGTGAAATTAAAAATTTTTCAGGAAGAGAAGTAAAGTCAAGTGATTTGAATACCTTTTCCGGTGTTTTAACCATCAAATTTGTACATAATTTTTGAAGCTCCAAAAAAGAATTGGATTGAAAGCTTATTCTATAAGTGAGCTCAAAATGTTGTTCTACAATCCATCTTTATTTTCAATTAGAAATTTTTGTAAATATTCAACCAATTCTTGAAGATGAAGCTCATCAGCTGCACACATTACTTTTAAAGTGTTTGAAATGTCTTTTTCATCTAATGACATAATTCCACCATAAATATACCTTTTTTACAAGATAATTTTAATATTTCAAATATACAAAAGAAAGTAATATTCATGATTAATAAACTTACTTCAAAATTATTTGAAATTGTTCTGGTGAAATATTTGGTAATTTAATACTTGATAGGGTACCGTCATTTTTCTTATTTGTCAAAATTCGTCGGAAATATGGAGAACGGTAGCTCAAAATAATCAGGTGCGCGCGGAATATTTTAACATTTGGATCTTTTCCAGCTTCAATTGTAATATCATAATGTTCGTCGTCATCTAATATTTCGATAAAATTTTGACTTAATTTGGGAAAGAATTGTGCATACATAATTTTACGAAAAAGCTGAAAATTTCAAGAAAGAGAGAAATAGAAATTTCAAATCGAAAATTTTCCAAGTATGGAAACATCGCGGCGCAGTATATTTATAAAGTGTCGGACATATTCCAATTCATATTTTTGTGTCAATTCTGAATGAGGTGAATCTTGAAATTAAATTAATAATTTCTTAATATTGATTTCTTTGTTTGGAATAATTCCTTTTTTTTGAGGATATTATGTCTTATTTCGTCTTGAGTATCAACAAAGTTTACAATAATAAATCATAAAGATAGAAATGGTTGACTAATGTAAAAAAAAAAAATAGATTCAGTATCTGCTTTGCAATCTTTCTCAGGGTATACTGTACTTACTAGTACAATTTATTACAGTACAAGTATTGATATAAAATTATATAATTTTTATTATACGGGCGTTGGCTGTTAAATCGAGTCATGAACCGCTGTGGTGTTCCATCAACAAATTAAAATCAAAATTATGTAAATTTTAATGCATATTTTAATTTTATATTTTTTTTTATTGTTGAATCAATTAAATGTAAGTTTTCTTTTTTATTTTATTTTGTTTTCTCTATTTTCTTTTATTCTTTTATCCAACAATTTTTATTTATTTATTTTCATATAGATTTTCTGTATTGTAATTTAAATTAAGTTCTTTTATTTTTTTCCATTTTTTATTCATTTTTTCTTTTTTAGGTTATTTTAAACTTCTGATCGAAGTAATCCAACTCGAAAAAGCAAAAAATAATCATACGATTAGAAGATTATGTTAAACGCACTTTTTTTTTCTTTTTAATTCTTTTAATACAGCATGAAGCAAATAGAAAGGAACACTACTTCACAATTTGATTTTGTAACTATTCTATTTTAAAGCCAAGTGACGAACTTTAAAATAAAGAAATAAAAAATAAAAATTAGTGATTACTTATAGAAATGTTTAAATTTATTTGGTTGGCTGGGTTTTATCTATTTGTAATTAATCATTCTTATTATTTCATTCCTTAGTTTAATCAAAGGTAACGCTATATATAGAAGAAATTGTAAATTTTTTTATAATTACTTAACTTTTTATAGAGAAATATCGATAGTTTTTTTTTTTCATTCAAAGCAACCAAGAAAAATAAATAAAGAAACAGATAAAAAAAAGCATAAAAATTATATTAATTAAAATAAATTGCATATAGATAATAATTCTTAATATTTCTTT